GCCCCGATACCAGTATCGGTATCGGTGCATCCCTAGCTGAGACTGTACTTTAGTAAGTGAAGCTTTAGGTTTTGGCACCAGGGCTTCTGAAATGATAGAACATTGTGCCTTAATTGTCTAAAAAATGGACACTCCAAATTCTTAATAGATCGTACTGACATCTATTGTAGCTTTACTGGACCTGAAGTCCAGGACCTGAAACACAGCATTCTTAATAAGGGATAAGAACAAGTGAGTTTTCCTTTAACTGTATAGTGGTGAGAAAATAGATATTAAGAATACAGAGAAAATCATACAGTTTTGTTTTTTGGGACCCTTGTAAATGTTCATACAATAGTTAACATCAGCAGCAGCAGCACATTAATATTTAACAATCAATATAACTTATTACTTATGAAATTAGAAGAGATAAAGGAATATCATCTCAAAACGATGGATTGTTTGTAAAGGAAGACATGGAAGAAATGAAGGGAACATATAGTGGTAATTGAGATAACTGTTATATTTTTGGAATATTTTAAACAAATTTATATGGATAAAAAAATATGTTTGAAAAACAAAAAAAACAAACAGGTTTTTAAAAGTTCCCAAAACTTGTCATGTCACAAGCCACCAGGCAGCAGCTATGTGACAGTTTTACCACATGATGTATTGGTATTTGGACCAAACATAATTGTAGTTTCACATATCTCAAAAAGAAACCAGCTCAAACTTACAAAAGACACCCTGAACTCCATTATTGATCGCCACAAATGAGCTGCCTTGCTGTCATTTTGAAAGTGCACAGTGAAGTGTTGCGCTCAGCTGAACAGACTGTTCCAAGTCAGCAGGGTCAGCAGTCCTTTAAGCTTTTTGATGTGGAGATTGATGGTGATGTTCATTTGGATGAACCTAAAAACCCATGCAAGACAACCACAGATACCGAAACCTGGATCTAGGTATTCAATTCAGAGGACGTTCACCACAAAGGATGCACAATGTGGATCATATTAAGACAGGAATTTCATTTCATTTTTGAATGTCATGCCCACATTGGAAACATGGTTTAGAAGCTCGTCAAGATTTATCAAATTCAGAGATTCTATCTTTTTTTTCCCCAATGTAAATTTGCTTCATCGAGATAAATTGATAATGTAAAACAAGATTTAAAGGTGAGTTTGCTACTGGGATTAGAGAGTTTGACGTTGTTAAAACTATCTAGTCTACAATGTCAACATTTCCAGCAAATCCTCTATCTTGGTAAATGTCCTAAACACACCTCCCACCACCACTATCAGAATCAAAAATATTAAATGTTAAACTGGGTATTGATCCTCTGTAGAACTGGATGATCTGCTTCGTAGTTCAGTTCTTCTGTCATTGCCCTGTGACATCAGCGATAACCAATAGGATCGGCGTCAGAGAGGTTAACATACACTCATTAGGGTAACACCTTAAGCCTTTTTATGCACGCTCTTTACTTTTCCCTTAGACCTAATTGACTACATTGTCAACTTATTTTTTTTCTGTGTAAAATATCTCATCTGTCTGTCCTCCACTCTGCATTGTACTCTGATGCTGAAGCAGAGTTTGTTTTTTTTATGACAAAAATGCTAGGTGAAAAAAAAAAATGGTGCGGGAGTTAAGAAGTGATAAACAAATGTATCCGCAAATCTACAGACACATTACGCTCCAATTTAAAAATCAAACGAGCAGTCAGAAATATCCTCCTGTTTCTCTCTCATTTGATGATTTTAATAATGATGGTGATGTTTATTGATCGGTGTTGTTGCTCCACTCTAAAACTTAATTTGAAGGCATGCAGAAGTCTGGGCATGAAGTTGAGAAGGTGTGTGCGGGTGTCTGTGCACACAGAGATACATCTGTGTTGCACGTGTCAGTTATTTGTAGATGTGCAACATGAAACTACAGCAAGGCAGATGAAATTTATTATGGATCTTATATTTGTATTAATTTAATGCATAAATTGGCAAGCAGTTGCCAATCGCTTTGACCCATGTTACTCCCTGACATCATCATCCACCAGCACAACCTTAAACCCCTGTTATCATTTGACTGCAGAAGGGATAAAGACCAAATGGTCAAGGATTCAAGTGTGTGCATGCAGAGAAGCAATTAATTGATTCAAATATGATAGAGAAGATGGTCAGCACATATTTTTCCTCATTGTTTGCTATGTAGATCTTCTCAAAAGCTATGCAAGTGCTCTGCTCCAGTAGATATACTCATAGCATTTCCAATTAAAATGCTAGTTTTAGGACATGGAATAATGGTCTGTGAGAAAGTGGAAAATAGCAGGGGATAATTGCCTGCAAAATACAATATACAAGTTTCCAGCAGTAGTATGATATGCTATTTTGACCAGCAGTATATTTGATCATCCACTGGAAACAAAACTGATATTGAGTATTTTTGATAGATTCTGAATACAGTAATTTATTCATTAAAAATAATATATGATAATGGTCTCTCTGTAATAACCTACTGCCACAATTTTAAAGAATTGAGATTATAGTTAGTTAGTTATAGTTAGATTATAGTTAGAAAGTGTTCAAAAAGTGAAAGATTGAGATGATAAAGATGATAGAGTAAACTGTATTATGTAACTTGCCCCAAATAAATGCCCAGTAACACTTAATGGTTTATTATTACACCAGAAATATTTGCTTTTCTTATACTTAGTAGCAGTCCATCTACATGGATTGTGAATTGCATTTAATTAAAAAACAATGTACCTTATAATATTTGGGAGTGATCGTGGCTCAAGAGTTGGCAGTTCGTCTTGTAATCGGAAGGTTGC